ATGTTGGCCATAGGCCCACGAATTCGCTAGTGTTTATATGAATTATACTCTCACAGAAAACGCGTTTAAATTGCAATATTATATTTGTATTATACATACATATTTATAGTACTGTACAATGGTCTTTTGACCAAACAATACGGGACATTTACCAACTACCTATTCATATAAGGCAGTGAAAACTTATAACGCTGTTGTAACTAAGGTCAACCAAATTAAGCATAAGTTTAGAAATAGCTTAATGAATAACACGTCTTCTTGGGCAAGCTTTTTTTTTTTTACTCGCGTAAGTACTGAATCATCTGGCTCTTATTATCCAAGACACATACAACAGGCGGCTGGGTCCATGAGAGAGAGCACTAAAAGCCTATCGCCATACTGCAATGATCCCCAATTACTCTTTCGTAGTTTAATTATCACAACCAGAAAGCCACAGGTAGGGGAGAGAGGAGTGAGGATGGGATGGGGGAAATTGGTAGCATGCGCGAATAGTTTGGTTTGATAACCAAGAAAAATGAAACTTTCACGAAAACAAAAAAAAGAAGAAACTTTATTAATAAACACTTAGTCAATGAATACAAGTAAAACAAACTTCTCCAGTAAACCGAACATTTGATAGAAAGATGCTGCATGACAGAAATTATGGTTTAGGGAACCGATCGTGGCCAAAGCGTCGACTACCGAGGCCAAAGGCATGTTTTAGAGTTTACGTTCTCAGAACGTTATTGAATTGTTTAACTTACTTGCGCGATTTATATGTACTTTTCATTCGCGAAATCTCCTGTTTTCGCGAAGACCTCTAAGGTTGACAAGTAAACCCTTATTATGACGAAATGTGTATATATATATATTGTTTGTTTGTTTGTTTGTAATTAAGCACAAAGCTACACCATGGGCTATCTGTGCTCTGCCCACCACGGGTATCGAAACCCGGATTCTAGCGTTGTAAGTCCGCAGACATACCGCTGTGCCACTGGGGGGCTATATATATTGATAAGCTTAAATTACACTGTGCTTGCCTAGAAATACTTTGACCGAGAGTTTCCACCATTATTAGAAAACAATTAAGTAGTAAGCACGTAAAAAGCTAAAAACTGAACAGCGGTGTTTACTGTAAAATGCTAAAAACTGAACAGCGGTGTTTACTGTAAAATGCTATACTTTAATTTTTATCGTGTAATCCTGCCACGTCGACAAAATACAAATGTCACAAAACAAAGCATGAAGCTTGCTGGATCAGGAACTCAAAAACGATACTTAAAAAGTGCACTTAAGACCACAAAACCAGTGAAAAAAATATACGATACCCTAACACTTGCGGAAGGTAGATTTATGTATATATATATATATATATATGGATATTAATGAATAAAACCTTTA